TTTTTTTTTTGGTTTCTTCACTTCTTGCAGATTACCCTTTTCCGATTTTCTTTCCAAGATAACATCGCACGAAGTCACGACCCCGGTTTCGGGAATTCTTTTCAACCTACCCTTCTGTACCAAACACTTTATTCACTTCTTTGAGGGAATGAATGTGGCATGATCCTGGCACTCCAGGTTCGCTCCGTCCATTTCTTTTATAGCCATTTCAAATGGCTTTTTTGATGGAAAATATCAATTCAGATATTAGCTGCAAGAGATTCGAAAAGCATGCGTGAGAGTCATATCGCAGCATCAAAGTTAAATACAGTGCAAGCACGTCGTGCATCTTCAACAAAAAAAAACGCTTGTTTATTACAGTCAAAAAAGGCTAAATCTCTTTTACGAAGCCGACCTCGATGACCTTATCGACGTCAATGTCCAGGTCGGCCAGCTTGGTGCGGGTGTTGTCCCTGATCCAGAGGAAGACCTCGAGCAGGCCCCTGCGGACCACGTTCCAGGCCCTGCCCCGGCCGGCCCCCTCCTTGTTCACGCGCATGGCCTCCTTGCCGAGCACGAAGACGGTCTGGGCCCGGCAGGCCTTTTGCAGCTCCGCCAGCGCCAGGTCCTCCTGGCGCTCGAGCTCGCGCGCCATGGACTCGGCCTCCGCCGCCCGCGCCCCGACGACGGCTGGCGGCGGCGGCGGCGGCGACGGTTGGGACGGTTGGGACGGTTGGGACAGTGGCGTCAGGAGGGGCGGGGCGGCGCCGCCGGCGGGCGTGGCGGGAGCCGTCGCCGAGGCGGTCATGATGGCCAGCTGCAAGGCGGCGATGACGTCGCGCGCCAGGCCGGGCCGGAGCACGTCCTCGGCGTAGCCGTGGCGGAGCACGACGACGTAGGCGTCGGGCAGGAGGCTGGGACCCCAGGCCCCGCCACTACCACCCTTGGCGTCGGCGCCGGCCCAGGACTCGAAGCGCGAGACCACGAAGCGATCCTGGGCCGGTACGGTGGGGACGTGCAGGGCGCGCATGTGGAAGAAGACGATGACTGAAGGCCGGGCGGCGAACTTGCGCACAAAGTGGGTGAAGGAGTGCGGCAGCTGCGCGGGGTTGCCGACCTTGTCGAAGAAGATGCCCAGTCCGGGCACCGTCGACACGGGCGTGGCGCCCGCGGTACGCAGCCGGACCGCGAAGCCGGCCGCGTCGGTGGCCTGCGACTCGGAGCCCGTAGCCTCGCCCCGCCGCCTTGGCCGCCCGCCCTTGGACTGTTGCTGCTGTCTCTGCCGCTGACTGCTGCCGCTATTGCTGCTGTCCTCCTCGTTGTCATCGTTATCATTGTCGCCGTCGCCGCCGTCCTCGTCTGCGCCGGCCGAGAACTTGAGGATGGACGGCGCGGTGAGCGGCTCGGCCGCCTCGGCCGTCCACTGTGCCTCCTTGCCGTACCGCCAGACGACAAAGACGGACGAGAGTATCACGGCCAGCACGATGGTGAACCAGCCGCCGTCGGGCACCTTGGCCAGCACGGCCGAGAGGAAGATGCCGTCGAGCGACGCGAAGACGAAGAAGAGCGGTACCACCAGCCACGGCGTCAGCCGCCAGATGAGTAGGGCGACCAGCGAGACCATGAAGGTGGTAATGAGGGTCACCATGGTGACGCACACGCCGTACGCATCGCCAAGTGACGTCGTCTGAAGCTCGAGCAGGCGTTAGCTCCGTCATCACGTTTGCCGCGGCCGGGTGTACCGAGGGGGAAAGCAGGCCCTAGTGAAATACTCACATTGTTGTAGACAATGGTCAGGACGACAGTGCCCAGCAGCAGCAGCCAGTTGGCGACGGGTATGTAGATCTGGTCGTGGAACCTGTTGCTCGTGTGGACGACGCGGATGCGGGGGAAGTACGACATGCGCATGACCTGACCCAGCAGCTGAAAGGTGGATGTGATAAGGGCCTGGGACGCGACTATAGAGGCCAGCACGGCGATTACCATGCCAAAGTAGAAGGTGCCCGGCGGGATGGTGAAGAAGAAGGGGTTTGTGAAGGCGGTCTGCGAGGCGTCCTGGGAGATGTAGGCGGCCTGGCCGACGTACGCCATCAGGAGGCAGGGGTATACGAGGCCCAGCCACGAGATCTGGATGGCGCGTTTGCTGAAGGCGCCCATATCGGCAAAAAGCGACTCGACGCCCGTAAAGGCCAGGACCAGACCGCCCAGCGATTGCCAGCCAGCGTTACCATTACGCATCAGGTAACTAAAGGCGAAATAGGGGCTAAAGGCGCGCAGGACGGTGTAGTCGTACATGACGATGTTGTACAGGCCTGAGCAGAGGTTGAAGAGCAACCAGACAGTAACGACGGGGGCGAAGCCGGTCCCGAGCTTGCTGGTACCGAAGGGCTGGAGGCAGAAAAGGGCGGCCAGGATGGCGCACGAGACGCCGACGATAACGGGGGTGCTCAGGGTCGGGTCGACGACCTTGAGCCCCTGCACGGCGCCCAGGACGCTCTGGGCGGGGCCCAGGACGCCATCGGCCACGGTGAGCGAGACGCCGGCCAGGCCGACGACCTTGAGGGCCAGTTGGGCGCCGAGCGAGGACTCAAGGAAGGTGCGCAGGCCGCGGCCTGCGGGCTGCATGTCGCCGCTGCTGTAGCGCCTCATCCCGGGCATCTCGACGGCGTGCGGGTCCTGGCGCGTGATGCGGATGTAGCGCGAGAGGAGCGTGTAGAGCGCAAAGGTTCCGCCCTGGCCGTCGTCGTCGGCCCGGAGCACGATCAGGGCGTACTTGACCGTCACGATCATGGTGAGCGACCAGATTATGATGGAGAGCGCTCCCACGAGGTCGTCCCACGATGGTTGCGTCTCGAACGTGGACGAGAAGACGTAGAGGAGCGAGGTGCCGATGTCGCCGTAGATGACGCCCGTCGCCTGGAAGCTGACCCAGAGCAGGACGAGACCGCTGTACGTCTACGCCGACAGACCAACGAACCGTCAGCCCCCTCCTCGCCCGCCCGCAGTTCTCCGCGAACATACCTGCTTGCGGGACTCATGGCGGTGGCCCTGGTCGGCTGCCCATTTGCCCTTCTCCTCGTCGTCGGCCGGCTGTCGGCTCTTCTCCGAGAGACCGGCTGCCTGGATGGAGTCATGGTGACCCGTAGTTCCTATAATCGATGAAGACTGCATGTCTTGGCCCTCGAACCGAAGCTCCTGTTGTGGTAGGGCCCGGGGGCGGCCGCGTCAGGGGGGGCGGAGGGTGGGATTTGAGGGAAGGAAAACATAAGAGAAGGGAGGCCGGGGTGGCGGGACGGTAGGCGACTAGAACCCAAGATTTTCAAGTCAAATATATTGCCTGCAGATTTATACGCGCAAGTCTAGGGAAAGTCAAGCAGGTCTAGCCTCAGACAGGCAGCGCCCGATCGTTATTCCTTTCATATGCGATGACGAGTCCCGGGCCGCCTGACACACAACCAGTGGCGGGGGCTGCAGATGGCAGGCGGAGGGAGTTACTGTAGGAGAGCGATCTCGTGCCCCTACCCAGCAACGGACAGCAGCAGCAAAGTATCGCGACCTGGGGGCTGTGCTTGTGGGCCCCTAGATATGGTGTGGGCTATTCCATTGGACAGGGCCTAGGTGCCGACGGACAAGCTTGGATGCGACTAAGGAAACCCCAAGCCCGCGCTGGCTGTTGGTTGGGAACACTGGCCACGACATTGGCAGAAGGGTGCCCTCGCTTCTGTCAAGGTCTCCCCTCCCGGTATCGTGCCCGCTGGGCGACGCGGCGGGACGATGAGGGAGCTCGCGGCGCCATGCTGGGGCGATCCCTGGCGGCCGCATCAATAACCATACGCAAGCGTCGCAGCAAGACCAGCGGACAACATGGAAGCAAGAAACAAAACAAAAGTGGAAAATCCCGCAGGCATGGGTGACTTACCATCTGGGGTCGCCCGTCGCTGCTTGGCCGTGGGCAGTGCCCTGGGCACACAGCCACGAGACCTGCCTGGAGCTGTCTCCTCCTCTCATCCCAAGTGGCGCTAGAACTAAAAGGTGGGAGGTTCCCATACGCCGTCTCTAGGGCATTGCGGGGCTGCGGTTGCAGGCGCGAAGGCTAGAAAAGCTTGTGATATTGGGGTGCTCTGCACAGACTGCGCCAAGCCCAACATCACAGGCCTTTACATCACAGCCCAGCAGCTCCCCATGTCGACATCTGGGAACGGGGGCCCACAGCGATGACCTCTGATTGGCCCACGTGATATGTCGCCCCACTTGTAAAAGTACTCGACTTTTGTCTTGTGATGGACGAGTCGACCAATATCAGACTCGGCTCGAGACGACTGCTCGAGACGACTGAAAGTCTGCTCGTCCGTTGCGGGCTCCCCCGAGGATTCACACCAAGACCACGCCCACCCGACTGCCAGGCACCTGGCACTGGGGAAATGTCACTGTACCATGAGACGGCCGCCGTCTTGGCCAGCTCCGAAGGGGGCTCCCTCAAGGCGCGTGTGTTTCGCCTGAAGACGCTCAAGTCGGCCCCGTCACAGGTCTACGCGCTGGCCTTTGAGACGTGCAAATGGAGCCCCGTCCTGAAGGAGGTGGTCGAGAATGCCCAGCTGCTGCAGCACGAGCGCAAGGTGAGCCCTAGGTAGGTTTCCTGGACCGTATGTAATACGTTGCCGTCGTCCAGCTTTTACTTCCCAGGCGCTGACGAGGCGCTGCCGTCGGGCGACAAAAAAAAAGTTGACACCCGTTCTTGCCTTGCTGCTTGCCCATGATCTGCTCCTGGCAAAGGGCGGCGTTGCCCTGCCCGCCTCGCACGGGCTGCGCCAGTCGGCGGAGCGCCACAAGGCCCGGCTCACGGCCGAGCTCACCCGGGCGCGCATCCGCAGGAAGGCGCCGTCTCTTGATGCTCTCAGGGCCGAGGTGGATGAGGCGGCGTCGCCAGATGCAGGCCACCCGCGCTGGATCCGCATCAACACTTTGAAAACCTCGATCGCCACAGAGCTGGAGTCCACCTTTGCAGGCTTTACGAAGGTCGCGTCGATCCCGGACCTACTCGCCCGGAGCAAGCCAGATGGCATATACATGGACGAGCACATCCCAAACTTGATTGCCGTATCACGCCGCGTCGACATGATCAAAAAGGAAGCCTACAAGTCGGGCGCCATCATCCTACAGGACAAGGCCTCCTGTTTTCCCGCCTACCTGCTGGACCCCCGCCCCGAGGATGGGGAGGTCGTGGACGCGTGCGCGGCTCCCGGGAACAAAACAACCCACCTTGCCGCCGTCCTCAAGTCCCGCCGCGCCGCGTCCGGTTTCGCGGGGCCGCTGCGGATCCATGCCTTCGAGAAGGACCCTGTACGTGCCATGACGCTGGAAAAAATGGTCAAGCTGGCAGGGTCAGACGGCTTCACGTGTTTGAACAAAGGCAAGGACTTTCTCAAGGCGAACCCAGACGATGCGCTTTACGCGAACGTTGGTGCTCTGCTACTCGACCCAAGCTGCTCGGGCAGCGGCATTGTCGGCCGCGACGACGCCCCTGAGCTGCGACTCCCCAACGCCCCCGGAGTCAAGGGGACGACAAAGCCGGAGCACAGCCCAGCAAAAGGGAAGCGGGATCGCAAGCGGAAACGTGGGGATGAAGGCCAAGACGACGGCGGCATCAAGGAGGGCGAAAGTGATGGTGCCGGGCAGACGCTCGTGGACGACGACGGTAAGACTACGGTGGTGTCCTCGGAAGCCGACCTCAAGGCCCGGCTCGCCGCGCTGTCGTCGTTCCAGTGCAGCCTCCTGGTGCACGCGCTCGGGTTTCCCGTGGCACGGCGGGTCACTTACTCGACGTGCTCGGTGCACGCTGAGGAGAACGAGCACGTGGTTCTCGCTGCCCTCCGTTCCGAGGTCGCGAGGGAGCGTGGCTGGCGGATCCTGACCAGGGCTGAGCAGGTCGACGGCATGCGGCGGTGGCCGGTCCGGGGGCGGGTCGAATTCTGCGGCGGAGACAAGGGCGACGCGCATGCCGAGGCCGTGGCGGAGGGCTGCATCCGGGCGTACAAGGGGGACAGCCAAGGTGTCATGGGCTTCTTCGTGGCGGCCCTAGTCCGAGACGGCGGCGCTGCGGGGCCCGACACGGCCAGGCCCATGATCCAGACGACCGCCAGCGACAGCAGGGCTGATATGGATGACTCTGAGGAGAGCGATTGGGGAGGGTTCGATGATTAAAAGAGGCTTACTAAAGATGGCCCCGCTCCAGTCGGGCCTTCTCGACATCGGAGCCTCGAGCTCCAAGCTTCTAAGCTCCCAAATACATAATCAGGAACCTCACTAGCCGGAGTCGCTCAAGCTTGAGCGCGTAGCTGTGCCACGACAAAGGCATAGCCCCGGTATACATACAACGATTTGCACCGTTACATCCATGCAAGCATGTGGTTCTTACGCCATGAACTAGGGTGGGCGCTGAGGGCTCGAGCTATGACAATGGTTCGAGTCACAAGGACTGCGATGATAACTCCTATTAACTCCTAAGCCCGGTGCTGGATTGTGTACCATCTGTGAGGGAGAGAAAGAGGAAAAAACCCACCTCCCAACGAGGG